TAAACAGATTAGCATGAGTGGGATCTAAATAAATTTGCTGCTACAAAACAGATACTTTGGTTGGACCAGATCGAATTGGATTTACCTATTTCTACAACTGTGTAAGCCATCCATTCCTCAGTATAAATCTCTTTCTATATACAAGCACATACAAGTGTCACTAGTTTTGCTTTTCTAGAGAACCCGACCTAACACAACATAGGGTTTGCATAAGAACTGGATAGAGGACTTTGTACGTTCACATCTTTCAGTTAAGAATCTAGATTTTAGCACTCTTGGTGAGTGAGTGAAAGTAACTATATTAACAAATGTTAAAAAACCAAAACAAGCTCACTGCCATCGCGTTGATGCCGACCCATAGTGATTCTATAGGACAAGGTAGAACTGTCCAAGTGAGTTTTTGAGACTGTAGCTCTTTGTAGGAGTGAGTAGGAAGCTTCATCATTCTCTCTTGGAATGGCTGGGGGTTTCAAACAGCTGGAATTTAGGATAGCAGCCCAACATGTGACCACTACTCCATCAGGGTTCCTTCCTATAGATTAGAGACCAACCGAAAAGGTGAAAAACTTTTGACTTGATGGAAACTGAGAAATAAAACCACAAGCCTTGACTTGATTAATGAAAAATGCAATCTTTTAAAAATATTAATCTGCAGAAATAATAGAATGCTTTTCTAAAAAGCACAATTTATTATCGAGGTAATTTCATAGCCTAGTTATCACAAGGGCCTTACTCTCAATGGCCCTAGTCTACATATCTATGCCACATTTTCACTACTCACAGAAATCATCACTGAGGATTAAAAAAACACTAAGCAGAAATAACAATATATTACCTGATTGAGTTAATGTTGTTATTGTTAGGAGCCACAGGTGGGTTTGATTCAGAGTGATCCTGTGAACAACAGAAAGAAGCATTGCTTCATCCTTTGTTATCCTTACCATAGTTCTTATGTTTGAACCCATTGCAGCAGCCACTGCTTCAATCCATATCGAGAATCTTCCCTTTATCACTGCCCTTATCCTTTACCAATGGAGTCCTATTGGTATAGTGGTTACATATTGAACTGCAATCCTCATGGTTGGCAATTCAAAACCACCAGCAGGTAAGTAGGAGAAAGACTAGGCTTTCTACTCCCATAAACAGTTACAGTCTTGGAAACTCATGGGGATTGGGTTGGGGGTTTTCTCCATGAGTCACCATGGATAGATAGCAGTGAGTGAGTTACGCTTTATCAAGCATGATGTCCTTCTCCAGGGACTGGTCTCTCCTGAAAACATACCCAAAATACGTGAGACCAAGTTTCACCAAACTTTTTTTTTTTTTCTTTTTCCCCCGCCCCCCCCTCACCAAACTTTTTTAAAGGAGCATTATGGTTATACTTAAACCAAGGCAGATTTGTTTGTTCTTTGGGCAGTTCATGGTACTTTCAATATTCTTTGCCAGCATCACAATTCAAGTGCATTAATTCTTCATCTGTCTTCCTTATTCAATGTTCAACTTCCAGATACATATGAGGCATTTGAAAATGTATGACTTGGGTACATTATTCCTCAAAGTAACCTTGCTTTTTTAACACTTTAAAGATATCTTCTGCAGCAGATTTACCCAAGGCAAAGTCTTGGGTCTCTTTACTTGCTGCTTCCAAAGCATTATTGTGAATTGAAACAAGATAAAATCTATGAAAACTTCAACAATATTTTCCCATTTATCATGATGTTATCTGTTGGCACAGTTGTGAGGATTTTGATTGTCTTTACATTGAATTTACATTTCTTTACATTCATCACAACATTGAGTGGTAATCCATGGTGGGGGCTGTAATCTCTGATCTTTATCAGCAAGTGCTTCAAGTCCTCATCACTTTCAGCAAGCAAGGTGGTGTTATCTGCATCAAGGTTTTTAATAAGCTTTCCTTCAATCTGGATGCCGAATTCTTCTTCATATAATCTAGCTTTCCTGATAGTTGTTTTGCATACAGATTGAATATAGTGAGAGGATACAACCCTGAAACGCATCTTTCCTGATTTTAAACCATGTGGTATTCACTTCCTTATTTGCACAACTGCCTTTTAATTCGTGTACAGGTTCCACATGAGCACAATAAAGATGTTCTGGAATTCCCATTCTTCCTAAGGCTATTCATAATTTGTTAGATCCACACAGTCAAATGCCTTGGCAGAGTCTATAAAGCACAAGTAAACATCTTTCTGGCTGTCTCTGCTTTCAGCCAAGATCCATCTGACATTAGCAATGATATCCCTTGTTCCAAATCCTTGTCTGAATCTAGCTTGAATCTCTGGCAGCTCCCTGTCAACGTATTGCTACAACCACTGTTGGATGATTTTCAGCACAATTTTACTTGCATGTTATATTAATCATATTCTATAGTTGAGCTTTCTGTTGAGTCATCTTTCTTTGGAGTGGTACAAATATAGATCTCTCAAGTCAGTTGGACAAGGAACTGTCTTCCAAATTTCATGGTATAGACAAATGAGGGCTTCTAGTACTTCATCAGCTTGTTGAAACACTTCAATTGGTATTTCCCCAAATATGGGAACCTTGTTTTTGGCAAATGCATTCTGTGTAACTTGAACTTCTTCCTTTGATACCATTGGTTCTTGCTCATGTACTACCATTTGAAATTGTAGAATTTTAACGAATTTTTTTTTCTATAGTGACTGTGTATTCTTTCCATCTTCTTAGGATAAGTTCTGCATGATTCAATACTTTTCCCATAGAATCTTTCAATACTGCAACTTGAGGTTTGGATTAGTTTCGGTTCTCCATTTAAGACATGCAGGGTGTGTTCTTCCTTTGTGTTTTTCTAACTCTAGGTCTTTGCTCATTTCATTGTAATATTTGACTATTTCTTCTCTACTTGCTCTTTGAAATTTTCTCTCCAGCTCTTTACTTCATCTTTTCCTCCATGTGCCTCAGCTGCTTTACAATGAAGAGCAAGTTTCATATTACCTTCTAACATCTGTTTTGATCTTTTTCTCCCACTATATTTTTAATAACCTTTCACTTTCTTCATGAGTGATGTTTTTAATGTCCTCCCACAGCTCATAAAGTCTTCTGTTATCAGTGTTCATTGCAGCCAATCTCTTCTGGAGATGTTCTCAAAATTCAGGTGGAATAAATTGAAAGCCAGATTTTGTGTATCATACACTTGTCTTAATTTTCTTCAGCTTCAATCTGAATTTGTTGTTTTGGTTATGGGTCATCGCTTTGGTTCTGACTCACAGCAACCATATACCCAACAGAATGAAACGCTGCTTGGTTCTGTGCAGGGCATACTTTTCTACATTGGTGGGAATCTTAAAATTTTTCATTGTTAGCTTTAGTGGTTGGTGCATAAGTTTAAATAATTGTTGCATTGAGGAGATTTCCTTGAATGCAGACAGATATAATCCTATCACCTAGAGCATTATACTTTAAGATAAATCTTGCAATGTGCTTTTTGATAATGAATGCGAAACCATTCCTCTTGATTGTGTCATTCCCAGCACAGTAAATGATACGATTTCGTGATTTAAAATGGCCAATACCAGTCCAGTTCAGTTCACTAACACCTACTATAGTGATATCTTTGCATTCTTTAATTGTTGAAAACCTCCAATTTTCCTAAATTCATATTTTGTACATTTCAACTAGATTTTTTTAACCTCTTTTTTTTGTCAAACCCCATCAGCAAATGAAAGTTCCACAGCCTGTTGTATTATTACCACAGGCTTTCCTTCTTTTAAAGAGCGTGAGAAACAAAACACTGTCCAGTGTTCATTTCCTAAGGCTCTTTGAAGAGAGCTCCATTGCTTTGATAAATTTTATTTTAATTAAGGTCTTAGTTGTGATAATTATTTACAGAGTGAGTGAATACTCTAAATAATGAGATAATACTCATGTAATTAAGGTAATTAAAATAATTTTTATTAGAGAAGCTGCAGCTATCTTCAATGAGCCTTAGGAAAAGAAAAAAACATTGAAAAGTTAGATCTTGAACGAAGAATTGAAGGTTAATGTGAGTGAAACAATGAAGTGTGCGCTCATACTGGTGATAAAGCTTCATATACATGTTTGTGAATATGTGCATGTGTGGACATAGACTAGTAATGGGATCATTGCCTTCCCCAGCTAGTTTGATAAGCAGAGAAGTGAAACACAAAACTGAGGGATGGTTATACAAACAACTCTTGGTCAAAAGAAAAAGGAAGAAAGAAAGAAATCCACAGAATATCAGCATAAAGAAGAAGGTCAGTTTGATTCGTTGGGCATGGTGCCTCTAAAAGGGGCTCTGGGATAAAGCTGTCCTGTGTTTCAGTAGTCAGTGACCTTGGGCAAGTTTCTCATCCACTGGACCTCCCTATTCTCATTGGTAATTAAGAATACCTTCTTTATCTTGGCATTTTGATAAACAGATGAGTATATATGTTTCTTCCATTGTAAATGTCCTGTCAATTTCTAATTTTATTAAGAAAAAATGTTGCAGAGTTTCAATACATGAAATAAATGCATCTTCTTTTGTCCATATTTTTATATGGCTTTAAAAAAATTTAAATCATTTTATTGGGGGCTCATACAATTCTTAACACAATCCATACATACATCCATTTTGTCAAGCACGTATGTACATTTGTTGCCATCATCATTCTCAAAACATTTGCCTTCTACTTGAGCCCCTTTTTTTTTTCTAGAGAAGTTTGATTTTGAAAGTTTAGAAAACAACACCTCCCTCTCACCTTTTACTGTTCCAATCACAAGGCTTTTCTTACAAAAGGTCACCAATAATTTCCTGTATTATGATAGCTGGAACATTTCAGAAGCTGGCAGCTTTACTAGAGGATGACAGAGCATCTTTTAAATAGATAATTTTTCATTCTCTCTTACTTTTCATTTTTCACTAATACAACTAGGGCATTTCTTAACGTCTTGACCAGCTTTGTGACCCAGTATAAGTCTCCTAAAAGTACTCAGCACACCTTTCCTGCATCCACCGTGAACCATCAGTTCTCATGGCAGGTATGTGCGTCCGCAATCAGGAATTTTAAAAAGAAAAATCGCCAAGATCTTCTCTAATGACTCTGCCTAATATCAAGGCAGACTTTGGGAGCAATAGGTCCAGTTCAAAGCGGACATTGTAAGGCTGCCACTTGTTACTACTCTTCACATAACTTGAGCTCTTTGGCTCTTCTTTCTGGTATTTAGGAATGATTCTGTGCTGCTTTCCAAGAGTAGGCTTTAAAGTGATTTCTGACAGATGTACGCCTCTATTTGGAGTGAGAACCAAATTCGTTATTTAAATTGTGACTAACGTAATTCTCTCCTAGAAATACAGAATGTAAAAATGGCACAGGTTTAGAAGTGTTATATTAAAAACATAATATTTGTATTGTAACATGGAAAGATAACCCAAATTAAGAAATTGCCATATTATTGTTTATAATCAAATTATAACTAGTTGGAAGTATGATCATATTAATACTGAATTACTTAAGGCTGATTTGTTTGAGGGGGAAATGTATAGGTAAAATATGAGCAAATATATTTTTTGTCATAAAAGTTATTTCTGCTTCATAATATGAGTTGGAATAGATTCGATGCAAAGAGTTGAGCTAATTCATTATACTGGGAAATGAACTCAGATTCCCAGGGGATTAGCCCACGTTTGCTGTGGAAATTCCCCTTCATCAGATGCCCAGGGATCTGTCTCCTCCCGGCAGTAAGTTTGTTTAGTTTTGCTTTTTAGAGACTGAGCTGGTAGAGCAATAAAAGGATAGGTGATCTCGCCGAAGATAAAGTATACTATATAAAAATGTTGGGTTAGTTAAAGTTCTACATGGGATGTCTTTGTTTTTCAAATTTTTATTAGAATTTTTAGAAGTTTTCTAATTGGCCTCTGTATTTTAAAAGATTTGTAGCTGTATTTTTCTTTTTAATCTTTACCCTGTTACTCTTTTTCTACAGTGTTTCAGACTGCTCCCTGGAGGGCGATTTCTGGTATTTTAGGAGCAATGTGTCTTTTATTGGTGGCAACTTTGGGAATTTTGCTGAAAGATTGTAAGTTTCTCAAGACACTTAAGTCATTATAAAGGTGAAAACTGTGATAAGTCACTTAGTGCAAAATATGTTATTTTACTGATGAATACATTGGTTATCGAATCAATACACTTGTTTGTACCTAATTGTGTAAACTTGTAATAATTTATTATAGCATTTGGTAGACAAAATATTCAGCCAACTGTCTCACCAGGACTCACCATGGAGCCCCAGAAAGGTAAGCGCCAGACTTAAGGTCCTATACCTCATTATTATCATTGTTCTCTAGTGTAAACATGGTTTTCTATGAAGTGTACATAATTTATGATAAAATAATTAATAAAATAGTTATTTGAAATGACAGATATATTTCCTTTATGAGTACTCATAATTAAGTAACCAGTTACAAATAAACAATAGTAAGTATAATAGCGAACTCTGATCACCTGCCTGTTTTTTCTAATTCAGACTTTTCTCTTTTCATTTGCTTCATCTGTGCTCAGAATTCAATTCCTCCCTTTCTGTAATTGTAAATCTCATCTACCCAGTCAGAGCCATTTTTACTTTCATTCATTTTTTTTCTAATCCTCCTCTGTTTTTTATAGCACATTATGCATATTTTATCCCCACAACTTTATAGTCATTTATGTGGTACTATTTGATTGATTAATGTGGGCGATGACTTTTATTGTGAATAAGAAACACCAAAGACACTATTCCTTATAATGTGTGACACAGACTTCAAATTAATGCTTTGTTTATATAGATTAAATATAGCTATAGAACATATATCAGAATTTTGACAAGGCATTGTATTTTGTTCTGAGGGAAGTTGATAAAATGCTTTCTTCATTTGTATTTCTTTTTGCTTTAATTAACTCCTGTTTAAAAAATAGCTCAGCTTTGTGTTGATTCTTACCAAAAAAACATGACGCTTCTATTTTATGTCCATCTACTTACTGTTTTAATATATTTTATTTCTTTTGTGCACTTACTATTATTATTCAATATAATTAATAAGTGATGGGAAATTATATAATCCTGACTATCTTTAGAATGTTATCTTCATGGGGAAAAAGGTCATGTCTAACTTGATCGCTTGAATATTTTCTAGGTATTGCATGCTCTGCATATGTACATTTATAGTAGATTCTCAGAGAACATTTCCAAAAATATGAATAAATAAATAATAAGAATAATGCCTAAATGGCATTGGAATTTTGAAATGTTCAGTGTCATGAATCATGTTTTATTTCTTCTCTTAGACTCTGACTGCTATTCTTGTCCAGAAAAGTGGATTGGGTACCACTGCAACTGTTACCTCATTTCTAATACGGAGAAAACGTGGGCAGAAAGTAGAGATTTCTGTGCTTCTCAAAACTCCAAGCTACTTCATCTAAAAAGCAAAGATGAATTGGCATGTACTTTACTTTTCTTCCAACATTTTATTTGGTCTGAAAAAATATATCATGAAATAAGCTGTGTACTTTGACTCAAGTTTTAATTAGGTAGTGAGTGTTTATATTTGAAAAATGGCTTATTAACTTTCTATATCTTGAATTAAATAATTTTAAAATGCGCATAAATTTCCTCAAAGATTTATATGAGAGTGAAAATCAAATTGTTACATAGAGTGCACGAAACATTTCTGTGAGAAGTCAAAGAAGAAATGTTATACTTTTTTTACTCGTTTTATTCAAGTAATCAACTAAAGAACTGTATTTCACTTTTTCACTGAATTTGTATTTTATTTTGTAACTATGCTGCTTTTCCTATTTCTATGGGATAAATTGTGCAATTATTATAAAGGATATTAACAAAAATTATCCACTTAATAAAATTTTAAAATTATCTTCTGCATGCAGAACCTGTGCTGAATATGAATTTAGTAGGTTTATATCTATGGGGTTTATCCCTTAAGATACTATTGATTAGAGATAACGTTTTAATGGTGGTTCTTGTGAAGAAATTGCTTCTTAAGGACAGTGGCTTCCATTTATAATATGTTTCACTGCATAGTCAACTGAGATTTTGTGATGTGTTTTGTTTATAAATATATGAGACATCTGAATCATAACTGTGTCTTCTATGTTAGAAATTGAAGGATTTTTATTTGCATGGCTGATAGATTGAATCTGGTAAGCAATAATCCCAGAGTAGATTAAAATTAGGTTGATAGGCTGGTTTTTGTTTCCAACCAGAGTTTTGGGAAGCACAGTCAACGCTTTTACTGGCTTGGGCTCACTTATAATGAAACACGTCACATCTGGCTGTGGGAGGATGGCTCGACTCTCTCTCAGGATCTGTAAGTTTCTAGTAGGTCACTTTTCTTTGTGAGTCTTTCCTTAGATCGCATCAGTGCAGGTGTCTCCTAAGAGCACTCCAACCAAGGTGCACTGTCTAGGGTCTGAGATCACAGAAAGGGCATTTTATGTGCAACAGAATACAATTTTAGTTCAATTCAAAACATACAAATTTGTTGATATTTTCATGCCCATAGAGTAACTTATGATATATATAGTAAATAGCTTAGAGTATATATAGATATAGATACCATCATATATCCAATATATATACATACACACACTTTATATATGTGGTAAAAAACAGATGGTATATGTGTGAGTGTGTCTATATGGTAAATAACTTTTAGTATTTGTAAATATAAACACATATATATACCTAAACATACACACCATTATATATATATCATATGTTATTTATGTGTGGTAAATTATGGTACATGTATGTGTATATAATGTGTGTGTGTGTGTATATATATGAGGGATACCCAACAAAAACTGGAAGTTTTCCTTCAAAGCTATGTATTTAAATGTTTTTATAAAACAACCTTATCACCTTCAAAGTACTCGCCATTACATTGAATACATTTGACAAATCTGCAAGCTGTTCGATGTTCACCTAGCTGGGAAAATTCTTATTAAGGAAGCTCCACCCAGCGGAACTTTTTTCCATTGGTGGGGCTGGGGAATGGCCTCTCCTATGTGTGTGTATACAAGTTATTTTATGGACATGAATTATCAACATTCATGTGATTTGAGCACGGATTTGTATGTTTTGCATTGAGCTAAAATTGTATTCTGTTGTACCTAATACCTTTTCTGTGACTTCAAATCCTAGACAGTGAACCTTTCTTGAAGCCCTGGTGGCATAGTGGTTATGTGTTAGGCCAGGATGATTAGAGAAACAAATCTAATGATACTCATATACATATAAGAAAGAGGCTTATGCAGAGAAGTAATTATATATGAAGAAAGCATCCCAGCCCAGTCTAACTCAAGTCCATGAATCCATTACAGGTCTCTAAGTCCCTCTTCAGACTCATGCAGCCACATGCACTGATGTAGAATGCAGGTAGATCACCGGCATGTGGGTGCAGAGTAGTGTGGTACCAAGGGCTGGTGGAAACATCACGACGCTCCAGCAGCAATCAGGGTGGTCAGCAAGCAGGACAGTGATGAGGGAGAGCCAGAGAGGGTGGAACCCAGGGTCCCTGCTTATAAGCCCACAGCTCCAAGGACACAGCTGTCACCTGATTGACAGGTTTGACTCCACTCTTAGCCAGGAGTGTCTTGCTGACATAAAAGCATCTATCTACCCTAGACTGTGATCTGCAAGGACAGCAGTTGGAAACCACTAACCACTTGGCTGGAGAAAGACAGGGCTTTCTACTGCGTTTAATATATGCGGGCAGTTCTTCCCTGTCCTGTAGGGTGGCCATGAGTGGGCCCTGACTTGAAGGCAGTGAGTTTGGTTTTAGGATATATAAACTGCTTTTATAAAGACACATGGCTGTGCACACACATACAAATACACTCACATACTGAGATGTCCACAAAAAATGTTATAACCTTTTTTTTTTTAATTTGGGGAAGCCCAACATTCTTAACATCCGGTCATTTTAAAAATATTCTGGAATTATCATCTATATAAATGTATCTTTACTTTCATTGTAAACAGAGACTTTGTACTTTTATTCAATATGAAATTATATGCTTTGATTTGTATGGCTAGACTAGGTCAGCCAATAAATCTTTAAACAAAATAGAAATTAAATATTGTGACCATTAAAAACCAGAGCATAAACAAAAACAACCAAACCAATAAAATTTCTGGCCTCACTGCATCTATTATTGAGGAAGTAACTCAGCTTACTTTATCATAATACTCTGAAATCATGAGAATTCTGATTGTTTTGGAAAATATAGCAATGAGTCTATCCATATGCTAAGATATTATTTAAATACATTAAAATGTTAATTAAGACTGTATTCCTTCAGTCTCATTTAATTGCTTAAGTGTCACTCTTTTCTTCTTCATTACAGATTTTCATCTTCTCAAGAGTTAAATCCAGAGAAATGCATTTTGCATGATCCCAGAGGAACGACTTTGAATGAACCCTGCGGAAAGAAAAATCATTATATTTGTCAACAACAGTCATCTAAGTTTTCTTGAGGGTGGGGGCCCATGCCCTAATATTACTGCAAGATTCCTAAGAATGTACCTTTATGTCATATTGTTACTAACTAGTTACTGTAAAATTTTGGAAATTGTGTCATCCTGTAATTTCCATATCCTTGAAACTTTATGTTTTAAAATTGATGGTGTTTCTGTGCCTACATCTGAAATTCAAACCACCAATGTTAATAATTTCATATTTGTATTTTATTGAATATGTTTCATGTTAAATTTAGTGTAGTTCATGCACATATTCTTGTATATTTTCTCTGTTGAAAGTTAAATTTGACTTGACACCAAATAATAGATGCATAAGCTTCATTTAAAAGTCGTAGTTATAATATGCCAACCGAACCTCTGTCCAACACAAACAAAACCCACTGCTGTCAAGTGGCTTCTGACTCGCATGAGCCGCGTGGAGGGTTTCTGAAATTGCACGTTGTTATGATATCAGTCAACTCTCCCTTTCTCTTTAAGAGCAAGTAGAAGATTTGAAACCTCAATCCTGTGGTTTGCAGTTGTATGCCTCCCAGGGATCCTTATACCAATGTCTGTATGGTATACCATACTGGGAATTGTCATCCTTATCTTATTGTCCTGAAAATAAAGGGGAACAATGTTAATGCTCTTCTCCAACTCTCTCTATATATTCCCCTATAGAAATATAGGCTCAGAGACAAAAGTTTCATAGTTGGTATCCTTATAAAGTATCATTAAGAGGAGAGCACATTTATCCGTTCTTCCTCAATGTTCCTGAGGTCTGACGAATAACAGAGCTTTGGCCCTTACATTGAAATATCAAGTCTCCTAGGATGGACTTCAACACATTTTGTAAAGAGAAAACCAAAAAACTAAACTCACCACCGTAGAGTCAATGCTGACTCAGAGCACTCGATAGGACAGAGTAGCCCTGCCCCTGTGAGTTTCCAATTCTTTACAGAGCAGAACTCTTAATTTGTACCCTCGCAGACAGGCTGGTGTTTTCAAACTGCTAAGCTTGCAGTTAGTAGTCTACTTCATAACCACGCCACCACCAGGACTCTTTCTCCTTAGAAGAAAGAGAATTATAGCCTGGTCACATGAATTCACCATGCTGTATCCCTCTGACCTTTATTGCAATATATTTATCCATTAGGGAAATCATCATTTGTACACGCGTTGAAGATCTTATTATCTGATCAATCAAAAATTTTTTTCCTGACTAGTCATATGCCAAGTGCTGCATAATTTCCTTTTATATGGGCATGGACTATCTATATATATGTATATTTCATAGCCAGCACCTCTTTCAGCTGCAGCTCTTTCACTAAGTCTGGCAGAGTTTTATTTATTGACTTTTTCCAAGAGTTTTCTTGGCATATAATTTATATATCATAGAGTTGAGTAGTTCAATCGTTCTATCATATCAAGGGAAATTGTACAATCACCCTCACATCTATCAGAGAGCATGGTCCTCACCCCGGGTGGGGTTGGGTGGGGGAAGATATTGAAGAATCTTGGAGCCCCAGTGGTATAGAGGCTGTGCACTGGGCTTGTAATCCACATGGTGAGCTGTTTGGAACCACCAGAGGCTCCATGGCAGAAAGACTAGGCTTTCTACTCCCCTAAATAGTTCAGTCTCAGAAACCCACGGGGAGTACATATGAGTCGGCAGTTTGGTTTGGGGTTTTCTTTGAGTTTATGGAAGCAGGGGTCCGGCCACAGTGACGTTTGAGGCTTGGGTTCCTTGTGCCTTACCAGTCATCGAAGACAGGTCCTATTTTATAACTAGTGCATTCTTATCTTTAAAAATTGGGGGGCTTACAACTCTATCTCATTTCCAGTCTTATTTTTCCATTAAGCAATAATAATTAAGAACCTAAATTTTATTTTAATGTGCACAAAGCCAGAAAGATATGTCTACTACCATAGAGTCCATTCTGACTCATAGGGAGGCAAATTTTATATTTCATAATAAAATTGATACATATTTTATTTCTTCACACAAAATATCATTACAGGAGATAGCAACAACACAACCTCCTGCGTGCGTTCCTCAAGTTGTAAATGCAATGTGACTATCTAGCCAGAGCATGGTCACTCTTGTTGTTGACATTTTTTTTTTTAATCACACATATATTTTTATTCCATTTATATAATTACATGTCTGAGTCTGTCACAGTAGATCAACTTATCCTAAGCATACCCAAACCTATGCTTTTTTATCTTTTTTATTAATCATTTTATTGGGAGCTCTTACAGATAAACCAGCATAATTGTACAAATGCTACCAGCATCAGTTTCAATACATTTTCTTTCTTCTTGAACTCTTTGATATCGACTCTCCTTTATCCTACCCCCCAGGAACCTTTATTATTATATATTGTTATTATTATTATTTTGCTGTATTTTACACCATCCCATGTGTCCGTTCACCTGCAATTCTGTTATTCATTCCTCTTAAGTGGGGTTATACAGTCATTGCTATCAGCTTCCCCTTCCCCCTTCCCTCTTCTCTCTTCCTGTAACCTCAGGGAATCATTAGCCCCATTACTGTTTCTGAAGGGTTATCTATCTTGACTCTCACGCATCGAGTGCTCTTAAATATACAAATGAACTTATGCAGGTCTAACAAGATTAATGAGGTAAAACAAAGACCATAATAATAAGGGGACAAAATATTAAAGAACTCGAGGATAGTTTGTGTTTGCTGACAGCTGTTAAGAATTTTGGAGAATGATGATGGCAACAAATGGACACATGTGCTTGACACAATGGATGGATGGATTGTGATAAAAGTTGTATGAGCTCCCAATAAAATGATTAAAAAAAAAGAATTTTGAATGATGTCAAGGACAGGCTTTGTGGCAGTTATATAATCATTTGTCAATTTGAGGATTAAGAGTGTTAGGGGTTGAGCCTTGCTTGTCAATCAGATCATAGCCAATGAGGTCTCTGTGTGGGCGTGACCTTCTCCTGAGAGCTCTAGGAAATCCGGTACTTCCTCCTTGGAGGCGGGAGACACTTCTCTCTCTGCCACTCCCTGGAAGACATGGCAGCTGACAAGCCACATGGATGCAACCAGACCCCTGAAACCAGAGAAGCCACAGAGAAACCCCTGCCAGCACTGAGATGCTTCCAATGCCACTGGACCCAAAGACTTTCTACCCACTGGCTAGCAATGCTGGTGATCGTCCTGCATTTGGCGTCATCGCATGTGTTTTGTGAGTCTGAAGAGGACTTTATATAGATTAGTATGGGACTTACGGGCTAATATCAGACTTATGGCCTTGGTCTGGACTGGGTTGGGATGTTTTCTTAATGTACAATTGCTCTTGTATATAAACCTCTTCCTTATACACATGTGTGTCCATGGATTTGTTTCACTAGTCTACCCAGACTAACAAAGGCTTGTATTGATAGTATTAAATAAGATTGATATTAGCTGATTTCTAAATAAATTATCTCCAGGTACTGATGAAAATAATAGTTAAGATCTCCCCAGCATTTACTCAATTCCAAGGGTGATACAGGACGTTGAAGGAGAGCGTGCGTTTCAGGGGATGAAACTTTTATGGACACTTCTTTGCAACCAGCCAATGTGGTTGACTTGACAGCACCCAGTGCGGCCCTTCTTCTCAAAGTAGACACCCTTCAGGTTGGTGCTCCTTACTTCTGTCTCCAAGCTTTCCATTTTATTTGCTTTCCCTCTGCTGCCTCCACGCTTGCTACTTTGATCTGATGTTAGTGGATTTTTTTCTAATATCCAGGATGAAAAATACAGTTTTTATGAATTTCTTTCTTTTCAGTCAGACATCTCTAAATAGCCATTGCTTCTTTAAAAAAATATTTTAACAGTTTAATTGACATATAATTCAATAGCTGAATCATATTAAAAGGATTTGTACAATCATCACCATAATCAATGATAGAATATTTTCTTTCTTGTACTAATTGTTATTAGCTCCCCATTACCCATCCACCCACCCACCCACCCAATTTCCCTGCCATACACCCAAGAAACCATTACTCCAATTATTCTCTCTCTAGATTCACCTGTCTTGGATTTCATGTAAAGAAAAACATGCCAAAAACACCAACAAAATAAAATTGTAAAACCTAATTAATAAGAAAGCAGAAAATATTAAAACCTAGAAAAATATAAAATGGGTCGAAAGATAGATCAAATGATAAGCTGTTAACTTTTAGCCTAATTGTAGCTTCTGTAATCCACCTTCCAATGCACTCTGCAAGATATTAAAGCTATTCACATACCTTGTCTGAGGTCAGAGGGAATTCCCCAGAGGCTTAATCCATGTAGGGACCCTGCACATAGATTTTGAACTTGCATTCTGCAAACCAGGTGTTCACAATTTTAACTCTGATAGCATGCTCTCCTTTGGATTTGGATTTTATTATTTACAATCCTTGGATCACACAGGCTGGTGTGTTGCTCCTGGGTGGACTTAGTTGATGCCTCACTTAGATGGATGCTTATTTGAAAACAAACAAACAAACTTCAAGACACCAGATACTATTCCTTCTAATAGCTGGCACAGTGTGTTTTCTTCACCACACTTTGTATATAGCACTTATACCTTCAACGGTCTCTTCAGGAGGGCAAGCATCAAGCAAGGCCATGTCATAAGAACTAATTGTTCTTAGATTGGGGTTTGAATTAAGTGAGTCCAAAATGCATTCATGTATCTATGATTCATATTTGTGTCCGGTTCACTTTTGAGATATCATGATCGTTTTATGATAGAGAACATTACCAATCATTCCCCTATGGCATAGAACATAAAACACTATTAAGAAAGGGAAATTATGCAAGTATAGGTTAGCTATGGACCACAATACAAAAATTGTTGACTTGTACAAATTTAACTCTTAAGCAACTGGACACTATTTCCACAAGCAATAGGGGGTAGTGATATTACAAAGCTTTCAATAGCATTCTTTCACAAATGCCAAACAATGCACACCAGATTAATACATATCATAATAAAGCAAGGAGAGCATTAAAATAGTCAATATATGGAAGTCCTAGGCCAACAATCATAGGGCAACCACAAGGCAAGAGATGAAGAGATGGGAACCACAGACCAATTTCATAATCTCGAGATAGCAGTCATTTGCTGCTGCTCAGACTGCAGACGTTCAGTCTTAAGACTAAGGGCTGTAGCTGCGT